ACGAAAATACCACTCTGTTACACTTCCCTCTTCTTCAAAAATGCGAGGTCCTTCGAGCATAATTAACCAGTAATTATGAAATTCTAAACTTCTATAAAAAATAAAATAAAAAAATAAACTAATTTTATTCAGGGGTTTTAGGTTCCTTGGTGTATCCATAACCAAAAACAGAGATTTTAAACAGAATAATCCCACAACTAAAAAAAACTTAGAGGTTTTAAACAGGATGACCCCACAACCAAAAAACTTAGGGGTTTTAAATGGGATGACCCCATAATCAAAAACTTTTCCATAGCTAACTTATAGTCAACACATATAGATCTTATTCCTCGCCAGACCAGGCTTTATCATTACGCCTTACAAATATATTCTTAAACAAAAACAACTTGTCAAAAACTAAAACTAAAAAAAATAAAAAAATTAAACTATTCAAAATAACAACTAAAGAAAAAAAATAAAAAATAAAAATAAAACGTTTAAAAAAAATATAACTATATGTCGCGGATGATCGTGAAATCGGATGATGGTGAAATTTGGAGTCTTTTTTTGAAAATATAAACCCTACTGAAATCTATTTATACTCTTTCCTAAGCAACTCTAACCTTAAATTCTAACCTATCACTAAAAAAAAACACCTTAAAAAATTCTAAAATTTCATATTAAATTAGGTCCAAATTTCACCATCATCCAATTTTATGATCATCTGTGACACTATATAAAAAAAATCATCTAACAAAACCTCACATTCGGAATTAGGAGTATTTAAGTTTTTTTTTTTTTTTTATTGCGTTGTTAATTATTTATTTATTCTTAGAGCCAGGTCAACTTCTAAATTCTATAGGACTATATTTCGTCTTGTTTAACATTACCCACATGATTATCAGATTATCGTCTATTTGATTGATGATCCACTAACTTTAGAACTTTTAAATTTCTTTCTATTTCCTTGTTTAACTTTTAGCTTTTTCGACTTTTTTTTACATCCTGTACTACATTGTCCCAGGTCTTTCTTATAAGGTCTCTTCAGTCTTGGCTTCATGAAGACGCTTTCACGGTGAAATAGGCTTGTCCAAGTAACCGATCTTGACGAGATGAGATCTCTTACTTTTGGATGTGTCTTGAAAGATTTTGGCTTAACGAAGACACTTCCACGGCAAATGAACTAGTTTATAATACTTTACTGATCTTGGACTTGTGCTCCAAGGTATTGGTAATGAGATCTTTAGATAAAGTCTTGTGCACTTTCTTTTTTTTTTTTTTATACTTATTATTCTGGTCTTGCTCTTATTTTGATTTTTATTTTTCCAGCTTTTACTTTCGGGCTTTTGTTACCAGCCAGCTTCTTTTCTTGGGATTCATGATTTCTTCCGGCATAAAAAGAACTCATACGTCGTTGGTTTGAATCTTGCAAGTTTCTTTTCATGTCGCTAAGTATAATTCTTCTTTATGCTTCTTCTGTCCCTTATTCTTTCAGTTCTATGCTTTTGAACTTTTGGAACTTCCGGAGTTTTTTTTTTTTTTTTTAGCAAAATGTATTTTATATTTATACTTCCATCTCTATTCCTAGATCTAGTTTTTTCTAGTTTTAAATTTGGCTTTTCTGGCTTCAGTTTTTTTTTTTTTTTTTTTTTTGTTACAGACTTCTTTCCGAATTTTCAGGTGTTGGCCTTTTCTTTGCTTGCTTAGTCGTCTGAAGTAATATAGCAAAGAATTTTGAAGTACAACATCGTTGGGCTTCAAGGTCTTCGAGTATGTGCCTTATAGCTTCTACTTCGACACCATCATATTCGCAACTTGTTATTGGGACTCCAGGTTTGTTTTTGACTTTTTTGTGTGCTCTTTACTTGAATTCGATACTTTGGGCTCTACTGCTAGAATCGGTCTATTTTTTTTTTTTTAAAAAAATTATTTTCTTTTTTAAAATTATTTTCTTTTTTAAAATTATTTTTTTTTTTAAAATTATTTTTCTTGCCCAGTACATATCATGTAGAATGATATGAAGTAACAAGATCCGAGTTTTGGGACGTAGGCGGACTATATAAAAAAGAACGTAGAGATTTAGAGTATACTTAAAAGCTTTGAGTCGAATGATTCGAATTATGTAGAATTCAAGACAGATTTAACTCAAGGGATCTGAATTTGAGTTAATCGAAGTCTTGACATACGGGACTATACATAGGGCATAGAAGTTATAGAAGCAGCGTATTCTTTTTTATGATATATGTTTTGTTTTTGTTTTATATTTATCCTACTAACATTCGTTTTTGGGCAGAGCATTATAGGTAGGACGAAATGTAAAATATAGACACATATATAGAAGGGCATCGATACAAAACAGCTCTTTTTGGGCTTGAATTTCTTCAAATAGGTGACCCAATCCTGTTGTCATCACCAAATATAACCGAAATATTCAGTTATGGGTTGGGTTAGGTCTTTGTTAGAAGAAATATCAAGACGAAAAGACTTTTATTTAGATAGTTTTAGGACATGATAGTGGATCATGTCTCTTTAAGAGACCAGTTTATATTTTTTTTATAATTCTTCTAGGAATAACTACTATTCTAAATAAATCTTTAAACTGTTTACTGGCCCTGTTATGCAAACTGATTTTATGCATAACGATTTATGCGTAATGATCATATATGTAATGAATTATGCATAACGAATTTATGCATACTATAACAAAATAATAAATAGCAAATAAATAAATAAAGAAATAAAAAAAAATCTATACTAAGAAAAATAATAGTAGTGGCCATATGTAGTACACGGAATCACGTGACCACTGCAATATTATATACGAAAATACTACTTTGTTACAATATTATATACAAAAAGAAAACAGAAAGCATTGAATATTTAGTAAGCTGTGAAGTATCAATAAGGCTAATATGAGATATTAAAGAGCAAGAAGTAGAGATGACTCTTAAAAAAATAAAAGAAATACAAAACATAGATAAAAAGAAAAAAGAAATTTTAAACATGATAGAAAAAGAAAATCTTACTAAAAAGTTACGAAAAAAAGAGAAATGGATAAGAGGTTTGATTATGAAAGAGAACTTCACTGACAATTTTTACATCTAACAAACAAACTAGAGACTTTATAATAAGACTTTGAAAAAGATGAATAAAAAAGATATATAAGAAAATCTGTATCAAAAAATGCAAGTTAGTGCAAAGCTAGAAAAAGAAAAATGGTATAATGCGAAAAGAAAAATGAGGATATAGCACAGATACTAGGGAAAAACAAAGAAAGAAAAAAAGAAAAAAGAAGACAAATGAAAAGAAAGACTCATTAAATAAGACACTTAAAAGAAAAAAACAAAAGAAAGAGGCCAAAGCAAAATGTAAGACTATAAAATGTGAGACTATATTAGATATAGCAAGAAATGAATTTTTGAGTTGAATAAAAGGTAAACAGAGAGCAGAATAGTGAAAAGTAAATTAGTAGTCTTGACAGGCTATAAAAACCATCCAATGAAGTATTGATGAACTTGTTTGCAAGATAAATTAATATGAAGGTAAATTTTACTATAGCAGGTTATACATAGGTGTTCATAGAACAACTAGGTGAGCCGATACTTGTAACTTAGGTGTCAAGAGGAATAGCCCTTTGAAAAATTTAATATTTTAAAATATAATATTATTAAACTTAAAAAAAAACAAAAAACAAACTAATATAAAGAGAAAATTTTTGTTTAATATAAATTTTTAAAAATTGTAATAGAGCAAAAAAATAATTTTATAATAAAAATATTTAAGAGTTTTTTGAGCAATTTACTATTTTAAAATCAAAAAAAACTTACCAAAGCATAAAACTATAATATTAGTTTAAGTAAAAATTATATCTTTATTATTAAAAATGAAAGAGGTGTAGTGATTTAAAAAAATGTATTTTACTATATAAATTTCGGAAAAGTTCTAGGTTATAAAAAAACTCTTTTAGTACGATTTATATATATGATCTACATAGTTTGTTAAATTATATAATATCGCATACCCCAACCATAGGCGCGTTTTATAATAATTCTTAATTTTTATTAAAAAATAAATATATGAATATAAATATAATATTCAAAAAATAATTCTTAAATATAATCAAACCAAATTTTATTTAAAGACTTTAAATTGTTAAAAAAAAAACTACTATAATCTACAATCTAAAAATAAAAAAAATATATAACAAAAAATTTTAAAATTTTAAATATTTAACAATATTTAAAATTAGAGAATATATACTGTATACAAATTTTATATTAATTTTTTATAAATTTTTACTACAGTATTGATACTAAATTGTCGGGTTTCTTTTTTACAAATACTGGAATTTTGTAAAGAAAAAATTGTTCTATTTGGTTTAGCAAAATATAAAACATATCTTACATTACAAATATGACAATATAAGAATAGAATTTACTTCGGTGATGATTTTCTATGGAAGTTGGATATATAAACTGACACTAATATCTTGATTGAACAAATTAAGGGTCATATTTGTTGATCGTTATTAATCAAAAATTCTCAAGTATAATGCGAACCAGATACAAACCAGATTAGAATTGGGTAATTGAATAAACATCTATTCATCTATTTTATAAATCCGGAACATAAGGAAACATTAAATAGAATATCTATCCGGATACCCGATTAGATATCCGGGTCCAAGCACTATTCCATCGTTCTAGTTGTAATTCTCCTTGACGTTTTGTTTCAGCAATAATATCCTGCAACTCCTTTTCTCGTTTTAGGAAACGGGCCTCCATTTCAGAAATCTGTGATGCAAGGGCATCAAGCTGGATTGATGTAGGTGTAGATGATGAAAATGGCACCAATGGTGGCGTATATTGTGGAGGCTCATCTTCATTTTTACTTATTTGCTGTTGACATATTGGAAGTACTTTGCGTAATAACGCGTTTTCTTCTCGAAGTTGTTGGATCAATCTCTTTGCGGATTCAGTGAGACCCGTAAGCGTATTTTCATCAATACCGTCGTCCTCGACAAGTTTTTTTATATCTCCAACATTACCATCCGTCAAATTTTTAGTTCCGATAGTAGTAACATTACCAGCTATAGTAGGAACAATAAGGGAAAGTAGTTCTCGTTGTCTTTCAATTACATTCTCCAGCCCAACACATCGACTTTTCAAAACACTGACTTCTGCTTCTTTTTCTAACGCTAATTTTCTTATTCCGGTCACATTTTCATCAGTAGTATGAGAAGATTTATTGGCTTGTTGCAATATAGTTAGAGTATTTTCGTGAACTGCCTGTCTTATGGCTTCTGAGGTATTCAATTGAGCTTTTAAATTCTTATTTTCAGCGGCCAGTAATTCAATTTGATTACGAAGATCTTTCAACTCAGATGTCAAATCATTTGCCATTGGAGGCTGGTCATTACATGTAGGTTTTGGTTGATGTTGTCCTGTTTGCGATGGCAATTCTTGTGAATCAGATTGAATATCAGTTTTATCAGTTTTATCCGTTTTATCCTGTGTAGAGTCATTCGTTAATGATTTTCTTGCCGCTTTCCTTTCCATTTGTAATAGCTCTTGCAAATGTTGAACTTGTGTTTTAAGTTGCTTGACTGTTGAATCATAACCACTTCCCCATTTCATTTTTTCTTTAGCTAATGCCAAAAGTTTAGTCTCGGCATCAGTCGCTCGTTGATGAGCAGCGTCTCGCTGCATTGTCCTTTCGACAATGGTTCTTTCCAATTGTGCGATGAGCTTTTCAATGGCAGAAACTTGATTATCTCCAAGACCAAAGAAATCCATAATATCAATATCGCTAGCAAGAGAAAAGTCATTACTTTCAATATTAGACGATATATCAATGGGAACTTTAGAAGGATCACTATTGCCATTCACAGCGCTAGATTCACCTCCTTCAGAAGTGGTACCATTAGGTGTTATTTGAGCTATTGCTGCAGCGGCTTGTGCTCTTTCAACTAATTGTTCATATTCCTCAACTTTTTTGATATAGGCATTTTGATAATATTCACATTGTTTTTCTTTTATTTTCATTTTCTCTACCAACTCTTCAATAATATTTTGTTTGTTATCTAATTGTTGGATTAAGTTTTGTGGAGGAATTACCGGTTGAGAATTAGGTAATAAGATTGGTTTATTAGCATTTGAATCGTTATCATCAGGTTCATCTGAAGGAAGTACTGCCAATAATTCTTCCATCTCTTTCATTTTACGGTCACAATGCTCTTGTTCTTGCTTTAAATTATTTACTTCTTCCTCGAGTTTAGACTTTGATTCATTAAGTAGTTTCAACTCTTCTTCCAATTTTTCTATTGACTCATTGGAGGTTTTATTTTCTTCCTCAAGTTTTACAACTTTTTCTTTTAATTCAGTTATCTCTTCGCTGCTATATAAGGTTTCCTCATCCTGAAGGTCTTTACTACTAAAAGCACTCACACTTGATAATACAGATGGTGTAGGGCTCACAGTACGACTAAGAGAACTTGCTCGCGATTTTCTGCCAAGAGATGATTGAGATGGACTTCTTTTAAGACTTTTGGTTGTAGGTGAACGAGTTGATCGTGTTTCTTTAGTACCATATCCATATATATCTTTATTAGACAAATCTGTTGCAGATTTGCGTCTTTTTTTAGGAGGGAGAAGATTAATTCTTCGTAAGTCAGTACAAACTTGAGTCACCTCTGGATATGTGCTTGCTATTGTTTCTATTTTTTCGAGAGCATTTTGTAATTTACGGAAACGAGTTTCTTTTCCTTCTTTTGAAATTGACTCCTTTTTTATGTTCTCAATTTGTGATTCGTACGTATATTTCATCATGTTCATTTCTTCGGTCAATTTTTCCAAAGATTCTGTTTTAGATCGAGTGATCTCTTCGATTTCTTCATTTGCTCCAGCCAATTGATGTTCTAAATCGTCAACTTTGAGCATATATTCACTTTCTATATCTCTAAGTGCGCTCAATTCTTTTTTTAGTCCATCCATTTCTTTTAAAGCCATTTCTTTGAACTCATAAGATATTTCTTTTCCTTTTAATCGTTCAATTTCTTTTTTCATATCTTCAATTTGTCGCATAGTACCATCCGGAACTATTTCTTTAGTTTCTTGTTCATGAAGAGATTCCTTTAATATTTCAATTTCTTTATATAACTCATTAATTTTATTATAATAATTTTCTCTCTCTTCTTCAGTAACACGCAATCTTTCATTCAAATTCTTTATTTCACCAACTAATTTATCATTTTCTCTTTGATAATCATTAATTAAAACTTCTTGATCATCAATTTCCCTTTCAATACGTATTAAATCTTCTTGAGTAAGTGTAAGAGGTTCTTGTTGTTGTTCAATAATATCTTTAAGATCAGATTCATAATCTTGAATTTTATTTCCAGCTTGCCATAATTCATTTTTAAGATATTCAATTTCCTCTTCTTTAGCAGCTAAAGTATGCCATAATTCTTGATTCCTCTTTAAAAGGTAAGATTTTTCAGCAAGAGCAACAGTTGAATCTTGGTATCTTTTAGAAAATTCAGTAAGTGTTTCTTGAAATTGAGAACCTAATTCATCTAATTCGCTAGATATCTCAACAGTTTTAACCGGTTTTTTTGATGTACGTTGATAATCATCCTCAGAACCATGTTTTGGTATAATCTTGGCACTTGAACGGCGAATAACTACACCACGTTTCTTTGTAAACCGAGGGGAAGCAGTAGATCTTACCACATATTTTTGTTCTTTACGAGAAGTTCTGCCTACATTTGTATCAACACTTATATCAGGAGTTTGTTTTGAATGTTCAGAATTATTAGATGAAGTAGGTTTAGATACATTGCTTTCGTTTGTAATTTGATTAAATTTATTATCCTCTTTAATTTGACTAACATTTCGAGAAGTATCTACATCAGCCACATGATTAGTACTATTTCCAGTTTGCATAGTTGATAAACCATCAGTTTTTGTTGAAGTAGTAGATTCAAGTTTTGATTCAGTTTTTGAAGAGTCAACAGTAGTAGAACTACCGGTATTAATTCCTATTAAACTTGCCAAACGAGATGGGAGCAAACGGGAATAAGTACGATTTGTTGATTGTACTTTAGGATTTTCAGCTACTTCATCATTAGTGAAAGAATCTTTTGATTTTTTTTCATCTTGATCGGATGTGGATAATGGATTAAAATTATATTTATTTTCTAAAGTGTTTCCAACAGAAGACATTGATTTAGAACTTGCTAAACGAGAAGTATCCAACTTTTTCGTTGAACCAGATGAAAGATTGTTTTCAATAGCACGAGCAGCAACTTTAAGTTTTGCATCTCTTAAAATTTCGTCTACCATGGCACGTGAAACATTTGTTTTTTTTTTTTCAGTATATTTTAAAGAGTTTATAGAGTTTATAATATTCTGAGTTTCAGGCGATAGACCCGAATAAGATTCGTTTGTTGTAATATCATTTGTTGATATAGGATTTTTTGATTTTCTTGTTGTAGTAGAGGAGGAATATTTATCTTTTTTTAAGGCCTTACTAGAACTTGACAACATTGAGGAATCTTCATTGTCAGTATCTACTACAGAAGAAGTACGATTTGATAAAGTAGCAGAACCGAAATATTGATTTGCCGAGAAAGGGTCACTTTCTTCAGTTATAGAGCTGCTGACTTCGCGAATTTGACCCTGGGAACTCCTGGATTCCTTTGAATATAAATCTTTGTCGCCCATAATTTTGTACTAACCAACGAATTCTTCTAGAAGGTTTCGTAAGACGGGCGCCCGGAATGTAGAAGTAATATAAATATGTATGGAAAGTCTTTTACACTCTAAAGTCCACGCGTTAAATGCTATTAAAGTTCAATAGATAAGTATCTAAATTGGCAAAAATAAATAAAATTATGTACAGAAAATATATATATCGATATAATTCAATTAAATCCGATGTCGACTTGTAAGTCTTTAAGTCAGTCGTGCTGTGACAAACAATTGGTTCTGTTTTTGAGTAGTTACGTACGTACCAGGTACGTACAGTGTCAAGTAAAACGTAACACCGGAATTGTACACTTATCGCTATTGGATCATAATCTTGATTAGATCCTCTACGTTTAAAATTATCAATTTATATCCGAAAATTAATTTAAGATAATTTAGGAGGAACTTGTAATATAGTCTATAACGATGACATATGACAATGAATCAACATCTTACATTTTATAATATAATAACACTTTTCTGATTGGACAATCACTTACTTTTTAAAGAACTTAATAATCCCAAATCCAGTGGCAATTATTGAACCAGATAAAAGTTATACGTATGTACGTATGTAAAATTCTTTACCAAGCTATGGATAAAATGTTTCAGAATTTGTACCTAATCCACATGTCGACACGATTAAGCTGAAGATTAAGCCAGACTATGGAAAAAGTACTTGATACCTGGTATAATATATCTACGCATGTATAGTTTTGATTAGTTCTCCGAAATCTTCCGATTAATGCTTTTTAATCGAATTGACTAGTCAATTTAATAAATCTGCTTAATTTGACTAATGCCAAAATCGACTACAATATTAGGACTCCACGCGATCATGCACATACATAACAAGACAATAAAATTTTTAAATCAATTCTTTTCTTAAAAAATTTCTATCCAATCCAGAGACCGTTAAAATTTTTTTTTAAAAAAACCTGTAATCCATCCCAGAAACGTAATTTATAGCTTTAAATTGATAATTGCTTGATTGAATCCGATGAAATAAATTCTATAATTGTAATATTCATTTAATTAGAAAATTTCATCAAATTTCGATTAGGAGATAGTTATCGAGAAACCTTTAAAGGTTAGCACAGCTACTTTTCTAAGAGGGCAGGTTTTTTGATCCATCATATTCAATCAAACTACTACAAGATCAATGTCGGTAATTTATTGATTCCAATTCAGTAACTTATCGATTCGATTCGATCATCGAAAATTCAGCTGTTCTAAAATCCACTGATAAATTGAGCTTATGTTCTCGATATATAGGTTTAATTCCAATAGTAAATGGATTTATGAACGGTAACTCTATCTTGTTTATATAATAGCGAAGAATAATTAACGGAACTGGGTCAAGGTTTTATAAAGATTTGTATGCACGGGGTTTCGATATAATTTCTTTATTACTAACTATATATTTGTCAAGCTCGTAAGATTTCTCTGCTTCCTTGTGGTGTCCATTATTTTTTTAGCCTCCTATAGTAAGAGATTCTATTGTCTATCCTTTATAATAACATAAAAGAAATAAAGTAACATCTTATACATACCGAAATCAATATCTTATCGATGACTATCGGTTAAATTTTTTTATCGGTGTAATGAATTTTAAACTTAACAAATGTTACAGTTTTAATTGATAAATTTAAATGTTATACAGGCTGCCAGAATTATTATTGCGCTGGCCGAAGGAAACCAAATTAAAAACTAATCACAAATTATTTTTCGTACAGGGTTGGCACGGACCGGTCAATGGTCAAGCTTGACCAGACCAGTTTGACCAATTTGACCAGTTGGTCAAAGGGTT